TAAATTTTTTTTAATTCAAATAATAATGATGGGTGTTTAGTGGAACTAAAATTCAATTCACTTCTTGCATTAATGACTTCTTGGTTTTTTTTTTTTATGCAAATGTTGGTAATAGTTTGTTGCTTTTGATATTCACCTATTTGGGTCTCTCGTATATATATAAAATAAAATTTATTTACAAATAAGTTTTACACATTATATATATACAAATTTTAATTATTTATCTTTATTTTTAGTAGTTGAGATTAATTTATTTTTTAATATATTTATTAAAAATAATTATTTTTTTAATTTAAAAAATTATGATAAATTTTAATCATTAAAAATAATAAAATAAATATTTAAAAATTTACATAAATATAATATATAAAATTTATATATAAATGAATTCATGTTTCGTAGATATAATAATAGTATCATATTTAAATAGCTAGTCAAGGCATATCTCAACGAAATTCAAGTATCCAACTCAAAACGTAATGCCCTTCCAAAACAAACGCTAATTGAGGCTTGAAAAGACAATCTTGCCCCTCCGCCCCTTTTTCTTCAATTATTAATTATAAAATTGTCTTTTTATAACCACACAATCAGTCGTGACTTATAAACATCTTTTTCATATTTTTAATGTGTGAAAAATGGGAAAAAGAAAAATCGGGTGGATGAAAAGCAAGGTCTAACGACTCTAACCCCATGATTTAATAGATTAATTACTAGGGAGATTCCTTACTTAAGAGCTTTGATTTGATTGAAGAATGAGAAGAGTTGCATATCTCTATCTTTGGCATGAAATCAAATATTCTTATTGTTGAATTTAGGCTTCTTGTTGTTCTTTGGTAATGATGATAATATGTTATTGCCATGGCTTTCAACACACTCAATCTGCATAAAAGGATGATTCATTAACAAGTGGTTCGAAAAGTTTCAAAAAGAGAATGACTAACTTTATGATTTTAGTGGCTAATCCATTACTGGGGAGATCCCTTGGTTATATACTTTCTCTGTTTTTACAGTGATTGTCTTTGTAGGAAAAAAAAAATTGTTTTTTTTTTTTATATACAATCTCAGATTCACTCAATACTGTATTTTTTTTTCACAAAAAAAAAAAAAAAAAACTAGTAATTAAAAAATATTTTATTTGAAAAATCAAAAATGGGTATCGGCATGGAATAACTCCAATTAAATGATCCTGGTGGTTGGATCTCCCTTGATAATGCATAACTGTCGGTTGCCACCACCTAAGAGCGCTAAGGGGAAGACGAAGAACCTTCTACTTATAGATATATTGATAGATTAATTACTTGCCGGAGTGGGAAAGACAAAATCAAAAAGAATTATTATCAAAGTTAGTTAAGATTTCTGTTACAAAACACTATAAATCAAGCGTAAAGGACGTGGGTCATCTAGTAACATGGTTGTTTTTCTATTTTTTATAATTAATATTATGAGATTACAAAAAATTATGATGTCTTTAACAATTAAAATGTTAGTAATGATGACAAAAAAAACTTAAATACTTTTAATGAATTAATACGTAAAAATATACATTAAAAATATTTAAATAATTTCATTAATAGTTCTAACATTAAAATATCAAAACATTATAATTTTTACATTTTTTAAATACTATATGAAAATAATCTATTATATTATAAATGTTATATATTATTGTGAACTCTAAGGATTTGATCCAATGCTAAAAGAATGTCTATTTTATGAACCAAGCTCATAATTCCAATCTTAGAACCACCATTAATAAAAAAATTAAAATTTTAATACATTTATGTCAACAAACAAATATAGATGAATAAATAAATAATTAATAAAATGGACCGGTGAATGTCTTGCATGCACCCAACCATGCATACACGCACCAACCTTCCACAAAACGCCAAACCACTCATATAATAAAATACATAAATGATTTGATTTGATGAAAATTGAAAATTCATGCCATTAAATTAAATCTAATTAAAATTGTAAGGTATCCCATGAAGAGATTAGTTATGTTAGGTGTTGAGGGAAATTGCATTAGCAGAATAATT